TCGGTGTTCGCATCTCCTATGCTGCTTTTGAGACATCAACCCAATCCATGCGCACTCATGCAGCTCAATCATCTGCCATGACCCTGAGTCGATGGCTCTATAGCAAACGCCGGTTGCCGTTTAAGATTAGGCTTGGGCTGTGGCAAACATGCATTGTTCCATGTGCTGAATACGGTTTGTTGGCAGTTGGTCTCACCACACGTGTTCTCGCTCGGCATGTCACCTGTCTCATGAAGCAACTTCGTATCATTACGGGCAATCAATCCTTTCACACTCATGACAGTCATCTTGCCGTTTTACACGCCTTTGGCCTTGAGCATCCCATTGAGTCTCTGCGGCGATCTGCGCAGGCCAGGCTGTCTCAGCATGACCGTAATCTGACTAATTTGATCAGTTGTGACATTGTTGTGAGTCATTCTCGGTTCTCGTTGTCTGCCTCCCTTCGTGTGATTGATTGCTTTCGTGAGGCCCTCTACACGAGTTCTCCTGCTGACCTGCCTACTTGTCATCTTCGATCAGGCCTGTGTTGTCATATTTGCAATGCTGCTTTCACGGATGTGACTGATCTTCACCGGCACTTCACGCGCAGTCATGCAATGTTCTGTTTGCCTCAACCCGTTGACTATGAGTTGCACGCCGTTGAAGGTCTCCCGGAGTGTGCACGTTGTTCGAAGAAGTTTGACAATTGGAGCACCTTTCGTATGCACATCACTCAGAAACGCTGTCATGCTCGACCGTTTGAACATACCACTGCCTTGTCAAGCTCACACGCAATCCCAGCCTCTTTGTGGCGTGATTAGCTTTCGTTTGATAAGTATGATGTGCCTTGTAAGCCTTCAGCAGCACAGCGTTCTCTTGATGATTTCTTTGTTGCTTCTGCTTCCACTCAGGCTATGAACCTCTCTGCCCTTCGAGCACGGGTCACCCACTTCGTCCGTGGTGAACAATGGCACGATTTGCAGCAGGATCGGGAAGTGTGTGACTTCTTTTCCCATCACTGTCTCAAGTGTGGAAGATGGTGCGCCCGCAGTCGTGATCTGATAGTACACCTTCGAGAGGCACACCCACAAGTGCTGATTCCTGGTATTGATCAGATGATTGCACTACAGAAGAATCTCGCGCAGAGCTCACCCTGCCCTTTCTGCTCTCTTTCATGGAAGCAGCAGCATGGATGCCCCATCCTACTCCAGACTGCCATTTTGCAGGCTGAGTTGACTAACACCTCTATGGACGACAGTGAGCAGAGCACCACGGTTCCGGCCTCAGCTAAGACCGGCTCTCCTCCTCCTGTCTCTCCTTCCTGGACGTGTCATCTTTGCTCCCAGACTTTTGATGCTCGAGTGCACCTGACTGTTCATCTTCAAGAACACCAACAGCAGCTTCATCGTTATGATCCAAAACGTGACTCAGTGGAAGGGGAACCAGCCTGCTCTCATTGTGGACTGTTGGTCACTTCCTTGGATGCCCTACGAAATCACATCACGAAAGGTCATTGTAAACACTTTGATCCTCGCAAGCACGTCCCGGACACTGCCATTAGCCCTGAACTCAAGGCTGCCTTGCTGAGCGGCCGCCTTGGTCCATATCTTCGTGAAGCAGGTGCTCGAACCTTTTTGACAGTGCAGTGCTTGTGCTGTGGCAGAGCGTTCACTGGTGCAAGGGAGCTCTCACGACACTTGCAAGACCGGCACTCCATTCTCTGGAACGATGCTCTTCATCTTGGCCTCAGCCTCAAGCAGGTCATCAGTCCTCTGACTGGGTGTATATGCAATCCTGCGGTTGCTCTGATGACCTGCACGCCATGAATGTGTGGGACTACGTCAACTAGCCATGACACACCTTCGATTGCATGACACGCTATTGGTACCCTGGGTGTTTGACATGGATATGCTTCAACAGTTGCTCCGCCCAGGTGCTTTGCCTGATGACCTGGTTGCCACCTTGTACACCTGGCTTATTGATCGCCAATTTCACAAGCTGTGGCAGTGCACTGAACTGATTCAAATTCTTAGCTCCTGCTGTTTCATGTGTGATTTTCGGGGACATGGAACCGACCTGCAAGCACATCTTCTTGTCGATCATCATTGCCAAGAACGTGGATTGATGATTTTTGTCCATCAAATCATTCGGTTGCTCTCCACCTCCACTGACTCCACTCTTGGGTGCATGTTCTGTGGAATGGCTCGAGATGACCTCCAGGCCCACCTACCTGCCTGTCCAACGTTGATCCAGATCTCCTCGCTGATTGCTCTCCCCATTCATGAGCGATTTTGGCTTGGAGTCCATGGAGGACGCTTTCACGGAGCAATCATTGGCGGCGCTCCAAGGCTGGGGCCAATCGGAGGGTATGGGAAGAGATCAGGATCAGCTCAAGCGAGCCAGAACAGGGCAAAACAAGCGAGATCGGCAGACAGTGGAAAGGGAACGAGGGATCTCATTCGAGCCATGGGCCACCTGATGCTCCGACACGATCAAGACCTCCAGGTGTCAGCCCTACAGGACACATTCATACTCTTCTTGGTTCCAAGCCACGAGGGCAGTATCCCTCTTCTTCAGGCGGCGCATCGTCAGTGGACGGACCTGAAAGAGAAGACCTCCAATCTTCGCACCTACCTGGTCCTGGCCCTTTTGAGAGAACTGCAGCGCCGTCTCCTGAAGCTGATGGCTTGCACCGACCAGGATCCACTACGGGTGACCATGGTGAAGAACGGCATCCTCTTGGAAGATCTCACGTGGCCGTACACCCAGTGGGACCGCAAGGACAAGAAGCTGGTCCACTCCAAGTCCAAGCCGCCTCTCGCTATGACAGCGGCCCAGGAGCTTCTCGAGGAGCTCCTCACCCTGGTCAAGGAGGAGGGAGCGATCCTGAAATTCCATTCGCTGAGCAAACAGGAGGCCTCGAAAAGCCAACCATGGAAGCTTCAGGTGGGGATGCGCAACGACCGTCTCCACAAATTGATGACCTCCTGCTGTCACCTAAGCCTGCTCCAGATTGCCGGCCTTCAGATGAACCTCACAGCCTGAAAGCCTCGCCGTTGGCCTTGAAGATCAAAGACATGATCACTCGTCTGTGATTGCCGAAGAACGCAATGGACTGGCCGCTACAGTGGCCAGCTGGGTGATGCAGAACCCTGCCAACCACTGCTATAATATCAACTCCTCCATGATTGCCATGGTATGGGCCAATCTACATCGGCAGCACTTCTCTTTTGATGATTGGGGTGTCCTTCAAGAGGGTTTGAAGGATATGCTGCAATGTGGCACTGATCCCTTCTTGATTCTCGAGATGCGGCCATTCATGGACCACCTTGCTGCTTGGGACGGTAACTGTCAGCATGATGCTGCCGAATTTACCACTTTTCTCATGTCCAAGATGGACTCAGCTGCTGTTCATAGCATGTGGGAAAGACGATTTGAGTGAGCCACTGGTGCTGTAAAAAGACATGCGCATGCTCTTGGATCTATTTTGCTGCACCTCCGAGTCATGCCTGAACCTATCCAACCACTGTGCCACCTTGTTGAGAATTGGCGCACCGAGTCAGGAATGCTCACGGCTTTTTCCCACCTTCCCTCCATGATCTGCATACACTTGGACCGACTCCGACCTTTGGCAGGCACCGTTCATGGTCAGAAGCTCATGCCCAGAGTGTTGATCGATGCTGAGTTCAAGATCCCTTCCTTTTCAGGTGATGGAATCCAGGTTGAGTACCATGAGTTTGTTCCCACAGCAGCTCTGGCACACTTGGGGCTCCCTGGAGCTGGGCACTACCGAGCTGCCTTGAAGTGCCTTGCCGATCCGACCTCTACTGAGTGGCTGCTGAGTGATGATGACACGCGCTGCATTTCAGCTCCCAAGCTCCCTGGCTGGTTTGAAACCCAGGTGATGATGATTTGGGCCATTCGTAAGAGCGATCTGTGCAGGTTGACGGTAAATTTTGAAAACACTCCAGCAGCGCCGGCAATAGATCAGATGCTTGCACTTTTTGCTGATTAGGCACTTGATCCCAGGATCACCAAGACTTCCGACGGAAGCCATGGCTTTTTGTCATGACAGGATAGCGCTAAGACGCCACTGAGCTCTTTGCGTATGAAAGGCCGAAAAAAAAAAGGCCAACCTAAGAGCGATGGCCTCCAACCTAAGAACGATGGCCTCCAACCTAAGAACGACGGCCTCCAACCTAAGAACGATGGCCTCCAACCTAAGAACGATGGCGTCCAACCTAAGAACGATGGCCTCCAACCTAAGCGCGTTGGTGTCCAACCTAAGAGCGATGGCCTCCAACCTAAGAACGATGGCCTCCAACCTAAGAGCGATTGCCTCCAACCTAAGAACGATGGCCTCCAACCTAAGAACGATGGCCTCCAACCTATGAACGATGGCCTCCAACCTAAGAGCGATGGCCTCCAACCTAAGAGCGATGGCCTCCAACCTAAGAACGATGGCCTCCAACCTAAGAACGAGGCCATCGCTATTGGGTTGGTGGCCATCCCTCTTAGGTTGGAGGCCATCGTTCTTGGGTTGAGCACATCGCTTTTAATTTGACGGCCATCGGTCTTAGGTTGGAGGCCCTCGCTCTTAGGTTGGAGCACATCGCTTTTAATTTGAAGGCCATCGCTCTTAGGCTAGGTTGGAGGCCATCGCTGTTAGATTGGAATCCAACCTCATGGCATTGGCCTTCAATCTTTTGTGGGCTGCTTGAGAGTTTCAATGCTCCCGAAGAAGCTACTTCAGCCAGACAACTTTGGGAACGACAATGGTTCACGCAATTTCACAGCCTTTGCAGAAGAGATCATGGTCATGGAAGGTGTCGGAAACTAAAACTAGCAAAAGACCTTCATAAACACAGGTTTGGGCTCGCATTGCAAGAGGGTTTTGAGCATTTGCGATTCTTGCCGCCAATGGCAGTGAGACAACTCCAGACCGGTTATAGGCATCCAGAAATGCGAAGGACTTAAATGATGCCTTCTGAAGGATACTGTTTGGTCTGGACTGAGCCGAGGCGGACTCCCAAGGAAATCTACTCTCCACAGATGCGCGAGTTGCCATGGTGGAAGGCCACACTGAGCTCGGCAAGCTGGATACCACTTGAATCAGTTGCAAGTGTATTTAAAGTCAAAGTCTTGCAAATAGACCAAATCATTCAGCAAGTTCCTGTATTTGACTAGCTCGGCTTGGTTGCTCGGGTGATTTCCGCAGGATATATAATCGTTTTGAATATGTTCGACTTCTTTCATGGGGGCTCGTGATTCATGACAATTCATGACTTGCTTGATTTGCGCGACTTGCCCATCCGGCACAATCACGCCTTCCTTTTTGATTCAACAAGTGCGAGACAACATTCCCAAGTGGCGAGGCTGGTTCATGCGACGGCTCATTGGCCGCCAGAAGTTCGAACAAGGATTGGGTGACGGGAGGTCTCGAAACTGTCAAGACAAATGACGTAAAGAACAAAATGAAAAAGACAGATTAAGAAAAAGATAGAAAAAGCAATGGTGTGACATGGCTTGGCCTCTGAAATGGAGTCACCGATCTCCGGTACAGTGGTCCTTTGCACAGACACAGTGTCAAGGGGAAGTTTCGTCCAGCAGAGCTTGCTGTAGGTGAATCTTCCGCCACTTCACCACCAATTCTCAGCAGGTGGGCATGGCCTAGTAGGCTTAGGGTCTCTTTGGTTTTCAGAGGGCGATTTGAGTCGTTCTACGAGTGTTGAGTTCTGGTAAGCAAAGCATAGCGATATGGGGTGTACAACGGCATGACTCCACGATGCAATGGAAAAAACAAGCTGTTTCAACGTTGGACTCTTCCAATTTTCTTGGATCAACAAGCCGTTTTTGAACTTGGCCAAGCTCGAAGCAAGCAAGCTTTTGGATGGCATGCCATGCCGAGACTGGTTGCACAGTTTCAGCTTGCGCGACAGGTTGTACCAGGTGATCTCTGATGGAACCCTTTGGTTCGGCGCTGCCTCTAAGGCTAGGTGTGTCCTGGTGCTGTTGGCCATGATGTGCGTCAAAAGCAATGCAGTGTAACAAAGCGCATTGCACAATAGTCCTTGAGCAGCCCACCTTTTGCAACTGCCAATGCCTCCAACAAAATGATCTCAATGGAAGCTTTGTCCATTTGGTGAACTAATAAAGAATGGACACCAGAATACTGTATCCTTTCCTTCGCAGACATTGATAGTGAGTGCACAGACAAATAGGCATGCACGGTCCTCCTGCAGGTGGCAATCACACCGTTTCCATTTCCGTACCATAACATCATCTCAGTCTTCCTGCGGGCGCCTTTTTCACAAACGAAGACAGGAGACAAGTCAAAGACAAGGAGCTAGGAGACAGTTTTTAGAGCATGGGAAACAAAGAACTGGGAAAAATAACACAACATTTTTTGCAGGATTTCTTTTTTGCCTCCCATTCTCAACAACACTATTGCATTTTTTCCAACATACATACATTTCCCTTAATAACAAATTTTCAAGCTTTGCACTTTGGGCAGAAGGTCATGTCGAAAAGAAGGTCGCAAGAGACGTTTGCAGAGCTTGTGGCACTCCAAGGTGGATGTACACACTTCTTGCCCCGGTGCTGATCAATGGCATCATCATGGACTGCGATAGCAAACTCCCAGAGTTGTCTGAAGATTTCAAAGGGGATTCGTTTCGATTCAGGGATTTTCAATGTCAGCCACTATTGATTGTGATATATTGTGATAGATCTGCCCAACTGGGCACCTGGATTCTGAAAGTGCCACACCCTGGCGCATTCTAGATCCTAGAACCGTCAAAATTTGCGGAGCTGGCATTTTCAGCTCAGGGTGCATGATTTGTGAATGCATGGATGCTTGAAAGCACTTCTGGGGCTGACTTTTCCGGGTTTCTTTGGACTTCTTTTTGCATCCCCTCTCTCAAAAGGTCTCTTGCAGTGCCCTTTCAGAGGGGCTGTTAGCCTCTCAGGGTACAGCGATCATTTGAACACTGAGTATTCGCAGTGTGCAGGATACAGTGCTTCGGTCCATCTTCGTGTTTACCTCTGTGTTCTGCTACCATGCATTGCACCACATTGGTGACAACCTGGAGGAGAGGGGGAAGGGGGACATTTGGATGCTCTGCCTTTATGCAGATCCGTTTGAGACCTTTACTTCGTGGGGATCACTTGGATGACAGTTTCCCAGACGATTCCGCTTGCACTGGCATGGACTAAGGAATTCACACTTGCATTGAGCTTGCGGTTGCAAGTTTTATGTTCACGAAAATTCACTAAAATGTCCCACCGGGACATTTTGGCTCAAGTTGGGTGGCAACCTCGTTTGAGTTGCCAACGGTGATTTTGTGAACCTGTTTTCAGGTGCGGTTTAGTTGCTTGGGATTCTCCCATAGGTCTTTGTTCTTGACGCCCATCGCAATGGCGCACCCTATGGAGTCTGAGTATGTGATGGTCGAAACTTTCACCGAAGCTCAACCAGCCGACGGAGCTGAGGACGCGGCTACAGTCAGTAGCCCTGACATGGATCGACTCAAGCCCCTATGTTAGATGTGGCTGAACCACCGGCCCATTTCTGCAGAACCCCAACTACTAGCGGCGGCCTCACCTGCAGCGGATGATGATGATGCCATTGAGCGCGCGGGCTTAGGTTTTTCCCCCCCCACACCGGCGGGTTATAGTTTATAGACTCCAAGACCGGCCAAGCGACCGCCTGCTGCAGAATGGCGGCTGCCTGAGACCAAGGCGAAGACCCTCCATGGCTTCACCAGGGAAGGCGGCAGACAGCGCCTCAGTGCCTATGCCCATCCGCTTTTCGGCGGTGGAGGATCCTCCAAATTAACCACCTGCGATTCGACATGTTCCCACCGTCGTTCCCGCCCATCCCGGGGCACCTGGCCAACCTTTTGGTGGCATGCTCGGAGAAGGAGATGGCTGAGCTCTTTGGCAAATTTTCGGGGTATCCTCTTTCCACCCCACTGGCGACCCGGATCATTGAGCAGTACTTGCCATTGCGGGCAATTGCCCAACAGGAGAAGATCTGGACGATGAAGCGCCAGAAACAACATGACAAGTCCGGCCTGGAGGCCAACAAGGGCCTGCACCGCCCCGCGGGTGAAACACCTTGTCACTCCATGTGCAAGGCTTGCCATACCGCATCCACATCAGGCAGGAGATCCTCTCCTCGGAGTATGAGGAGGACGCCGAGAAGACCACCCAAAGCCTGCGAGAACAACGCCTGGGAGAGCACGAACCAGGCCAACTTTCCAGATCTTCCACCCCGAGGCGGCCAAGGCCCTCAACCTCCAAGCCCAGGCCACGCAAGGCTTGGCTGCAGCCGACCTGAAAGCTGAGAAGGAGAAGGACCTGGAGGAGGACAAGAAGGCAGCAGTCGCCGCCACAGCTTATGCACAGGCAGCGGTCCTTGCACCCATCCAGGGTGTTTTTTGAGGCCTTGGTAGACCTTCAGAAAAATGCTCACAATACCCTTTGGAAGTCCGAATGCAATAAAAAGAGCACCAGCGAACGACGGCAAAATGCGGTCGAAGCACTTGGATTGATCAAGTTTAATACCAACCAGACTATTCCCCTCAACATGTGCTTGGTCGATTTGCGTCCGAATCTCAAGCGGAATGTCAGTCATGTGTCGGCCAGGGATACCTCCATAAAGTTGTTTGGGAAGGACAGTTTGTTGCCATTCTTTGAGCTCCCTCAATCTAGTTCCGGTATATGCAAGAAGTAGTGGTGAGGGCACTGTGATAAGTCTCTTATTAAGCGGGAGGGATGGTCCCGGCTTATTGAGAATGACTTGTTTGGCCCGAACCAAAACTTGGGGCAAGTCTCCGTGGCAGTCGTCTTCCAACGCATTGAAGAAACTCGCCAAAGCATCACAGCACACACTGGGTAGGGACTGAAGGTCGGTAGTACGCCATCCATCTAACCCAGGCGCAGCAAGCGGGTTGCGAGCTTGGATAGTGATGTAAAGGTCATTACCTGTTAAAGAAGGTAAGTGCCAGGGTTGGACTTCGTGATCCATGTACGGCCAAATGACCTGAAGCATCTGGAGGGGGTCCTGGTGGAGGACATTAGCACTATAGATTTCATCCCAAGTGTTGTTGATCGTGGAGATGGCATCACAGGGATTGAAGATAGTGTTACCTTGTGGATCACAAACCAAATTGGTGGGCTCTGTGATAGTCTTATTGCGCAAGTGGTGGAAGATGAACTTCTTGGTCGACTTGGCTGACTCTTTGAGCTTGATCCGCCATGCTTCAAGGCGACGTTTTTTGGTGAGTGACTCCCAAGGGGCAATTTCCTGATTGATCCATTGAATGGTTTCGTTGAGTTGGACCAGCGAGGGGTCTGCCGGTGCATGCCAGTAGCAAGGACAATCGAGTTCAGTGAGTGCACGATGACACCTCTTGGCTGTTTGAACGAAAATAAGGCGATCAGCATGAGTGGCATGGTGCCTCTGTGCTCTTGTAATAAGTTCATTAAGCCTACTGAGGGTTTTGTAAAGCATCGTGCTTTTCCTAGAAGTGGCAGATCCCTGCTGCGTCTGGCCAGGGCAGAATTTCTTTTTAGCAAAACGAGGAAGCCCTTTCGCGAGGTCCATGGCCCCAGGTTGCCCCAGCTTGAAGGAGGGCAGAAAGGCAAAACTTGTTCAAATTAGCCCACGCACTTTCAAAGTCGGGTGCATCTTGAACAACAGGTTGGAAATGGTCTTCCCACTGTTTGGACATGGACTCGACACGATCGGACCCTGGATGACCTCGAATGGGGATCGAAGAAGTGTCGAGGGGGGCCGTTTTCTGATGTATGTCTCCTTCAAGGACCAAGGATTCCCAAGCAAAAATGGCTTTAATGGGTCGATGCTGAACTTGAAAGACTTCCAACACATAGATTTCACGAAGTGCATTGAAAGCAATGGAATTCAAGACAATTGCATCAATGGATGAACAGCCATCGGAAGCCCCCGAAAAGGTACTATCCTTGGAGTACGTGATGGGTCGGAAGGGACTCCCATCACCGCTAACTTGAAGAAGTGGGTCTTGCCAACCGTGAAAATGAATGGCGTTTGCCACACTTGGATAAGACAAAGGGTCGGTTTGGAAATCGCCAGCCAGGATGACTGGTACATTACCAAATTGGGAAACCACTTGGAATATATTGTGGAAAAGGGTTTCATTTTCTTCAAGAATTTCCTGACTGGCAGACGCGCCAGAGCGGGCATAAATTGAAAAATTGAGAACCCTGATGCTTGCAGTTACCTGCACCCAGCACGCGTTAGCGCGTTTGGTTGCGAACACTTTTGCGTACGTTCCAGAAACATCTTCGTCCGGTCTGAAAGGCTTGGTGTACACATCCGAAGCGATAATCGCAGTACCCCCGTGCATTGTGGTTTGTGCCCCGTCCGATCGAATAATGCCTGCCAAAAGGTCCCCGCAAAAGAGAGTCCTGTGTAAGGCTTTGACATCCTGTGTAGCACGCCGGAAATTGTTCTTCCCGATACGGGTTTCTTGGAGACATGTGACGTCAGTGTCTGAGGCTTTCCATAATTTAGAGGTCTTGAGGCTGCCAATATTCATGGTGATTCTTAGAAAAGGCTGGTCGTGGACCTTCTCCGGGAAAACCAAGCGAAGCATCAAAAGCTCGTGGCCATCCATGAGTTGGTACCCAGAGGCAAAATGCAAACACCTGAAACCAACCCCGGAGGAGGCTGTGGCATGAATGACCCCAGAAATGAACAAACACATTTAAACAAGTGCGAAAAAGGTGTGACGAAAGAGAGGAGAACCCCTCAACCCCATCCCGCTCTTCACAAGACCGCTGAGATTTTCGCACCCCAGCTCGTTCTGCAAAGTCGTTGCAGCGAGCCAAATCATGTGGTCTCTGAAAGAGCGAATTGTGATGCTGCCGGCAAACACTCAATTGAAGAGAAAAGCAAATGATGAACCAAGTATAAATCAGGAGACCAAGCTCACAAACATTCAAATACGGATAGATGAAGAGCGTTGAGCAGCAGCATCGAATGACACCGTCAAAATCCAAGCATGCTAAGCAGAGGCGATATCTGTGTGCACAATTGGCAAAACGCCCGGCTGCAGGTGCGTTGGACAGCATCACAAATGCAACGAAAGTATGAAATCCATGATTCCACGGAGGACATGGAGCTAAGAGAAGAAAAAGCCACGAGGGGAGAAGCAGCAGAGCCTGAGCTTCGAAGTGAGTGACAAGAGACAAGGAGTAGGCCTGGAAGGGCCGTGCCAAGACGGGCAACAGAAAGCACAGACAAAGCAATAAATCCAACGAAACGAATGGGCGCACAGGCCCTGCGGCATGCGGTCAATAGGGAGCGGACCCCCTCGCAACTTTGGGGGGCGGTGTGTCCCCACTGTGTTCGCGCTCACGAGGCACTTGGGCAGCTTGCAGCCTCAGGGGATGGGGCAATGGTAGACGGAAAACGCTCGCTCACTGCCTGTGTTGGAGGAGCAGCAGGCTGTGTCTTTCCATCCCTTTTCTTGGCGGGATTCTTGGTCGATGTGCGAGCAGTGACGTAAGGAGCATCTTCAACCAAAAGGACCTCATGAAGTCGGCCATTGATCTCAATTGTGAAGGTCATGATGCTGGGCTTCTTCTCGAACGATAAAGTCCAGCCGAAGACCCCATTCAGGCGAAACGCCTTCGACGGAATTGGGGCGAGGCCTGTCGCTTTCTTGGTAGCGGAGATGATATCTTTTGGCTCCGAGGCCGGGGGCCACCCCGTGGATTGCAGTGTAACTCGGGGCACCGCCGCAAATTTTTTCCATCGTAATACGATTGTCGCCTGCCATAACAGCTTTGCGAAGCGCAGCCACATGGTCAGTCCAAGCTCTTGTAGCCAACCCACGCTTTGTTGAGCATACCCCTCCGAAGCCTTTGTTGGCCTTTGTAATGATGATCATATCATGTGGTGATTGACTGGAAGGTGTCCAAAACTTCGGGAGGACCGTGAGGTCCGAAGGCATCGTCATCCCCGACTGTGCCTTTCAGTTGGGGGTTCCCTGCTCGGAACGCCAGTACCTGGGCAATTGGATGGCGGAGTCCGCCAACCAACTCTACCATACCAGGGTCAAGTTTGACCAGTGCCGCCTCGGTCAACTGGTGCAGAAGGCAACCACACTCTCAACAGACCTACCCCGAACTACGATGTAATCACCAGAATTCGCACCAACCCCTGGGCCAATGCCCTTAGCGATCTTCGGCAGATCTTACAACCAGACACCCATCACACCATCGCAGATGGACAGCCATTCTACTTGGACCTCATCACGCACATGGCCTACGAAGCGGGCGACCCAGATTGGCGTAACTTGAGGTTTTGAGCACGGGGGCGCCCTTCGCCAAAACTACCCATCGGCTGCAGACTTTGCCAAAGAAATCAGGTCCACGTTCATGGAGGTCCCATGGGAATGACCGTGGGACCACTGACCAAACTCGAAGCGGCCCGATGGTGCCATTGCTCTCCATCAGAACTCTGCCCTGGGCCCCTTGCAGGTATTGATGAAGGGGACAAGGTCCGCGCAATCTATGATGGCTCCATCGGGGGAGCGAATGCCAAGATCCAACAGAATACTAAGGAACGGACCACTGCGCCCACCGGCCTGGATTGTGTCCACGCTCTTCACTGGCTTCATGCGGCGCAAAAGCTGAAGGCGCCTGACCGCCCCCCGTCTGGTCCAGGTGCCTCTGGCCCTGCTCCAGTGGGGGGTGATCCGCTGAGGACACTGCCTGGCAGTGGCCCGATCAAGATTGAGGATCCTCTCCTGAAAGCTGACGTTACTAAGGCGCACCGACGCGTCAAAGTCCTGCCCCAAGATTGGCGGTTCCAAATCGCCCAGCTTGAGGACGAATGGTGGGTCAACAAAGTGGGCACCTACGGCCAGCGCCCAGCTCTATTGGGGCAGGATGGCGCGACTCCTCTATTACATCTTCCCACAAGTGGACTGGGGATTTGTGTCTGTGGATGACTTCTGCTGGTTGCTCCGCCTCCCTACGGGAATGGCCTTCACCGCGGCGCTCCTCGGCACATTACTTGCACTGGGAACACCGCTGAGCTGGAAGAAGACTCACTTGGCAGAGATCAACGCCTGGTTGGGCTTTGTGATCCACCCCTGCCACCCCTCAATCCCACGGGTCCAAATGGCAGCCCCCAAGCGCATCAAGGTCGCGGCTGTCTTGGAGGACTTGATCAATGGGGTGGCTATGTCTGCCAACGCCATCGAGAAAGCCATGGGCCGCATCCAGTGGGCCACAGCCTCTTCCCCACTAACCAAATCCATGCTGCCAGCCCTTCTGGGCTTGGAAGATGGCCGTACAAACTATGGGACATCCACCCAGTGCCAGGTGGTCCGCATGCTGGCCTATCTCCTGAATGGAGCTCTTCACTCTTCCCTTCGAGCAGTACTCCCCCTTCCTGCCAAAGTCTCCTTGGTGGGGATGCAGCGATGCTAGCGCTTCAGCCCAAGGTGATGCCTATGTGGGGGGATGGTGTAGCAAGGACCTCCATCCCTCCAAGGCGGAAGTTTTCTGGTTCCACTACCAGATCAAACCTGCCGATCATCCATGGGCTTTCAAAGATGGCAAACCCCAGAAGCGAATCGCGGCACTTGAGCTGCTGGGCACCTTGCTCCTGTGCAAAAACCTGATTGCTCAACAGGGCACTGCGCTGGGCAGAGTCCGACTACCTGTAGGCAGTGACAACTCAGGCAACATCTTCAGCCTACTGAACCTCTCGTCCAAGAAACCACGCACCGCGGCCCTCTTGACGGAGTTGGTGCTGACTCTTCACCGTGAGGGCTGCAATTTGGCTCCAACCCACATACCCCGGGAATTCACCACCTGGGCGGATGAACTCACACATCCGGACTTTCAAGGATTTTCATCGGAGCGCCGGCTACCGGGCTACCGGCTCCGAATGATTTGTTTTCTTTTCCATTGGCGACTCGCCTTTTGTCGAGTATGAACTTTTCCTAGCGTCCCACCCAAGATCCCGTGACCGGATCCGGTGGGAGTCCTCCTGACCCCAGGCCCCTGGTCTCCTGACAGGTGCCGCTGGCCTGGACGGAGCCCACAGGCATAGTAGGCAGGCCTGCCACACCCTCGATTTTAAACGTGGAACGGTCACAAGGTGACCTTGAAGGATGGGGTCTGGGGAGGACCCATGCATCTCTCAAAGCAATACGACAAAAGGCTGCTTGCTGCTTTTGTTGCTTAGGGATGTTTTTGATTTTCGGGTACATATGAGCAAGTCCTCAAACCTTCAAAGAGTCGTTTGATTTTCACCAAACAGTTTACTGTTAGGGGTTGTCAATTCTTCCTTAAGATGTGTCCACCCTTTGCGTCACTGCTGGTGTCCGCCCTTTTCGCCCTTTCTGTCACTGCTGGTGTCCGCCCATTGACGCTGGCCATGCAGCATTTCAGTTCGTTTGTTTTTAAAGTGATTTCTTTACTTTTGTCTCCCAGGTTCGGTGCCTGCACTGCTGGTGTCCGCCTTTTCCGCTGGCCATGCAGCATTTCTATTCATTTGTTTCCCATGCGGTTTGTTTTTCTGTTCATTTGTCTCCCAGGTGATTTCTGTATTTCCCCAAACAGGTTACTGTTAGGGGTTCTACAGTAAATGCTTTCTAAGAGTGTCCGCCTTGTTCCCGGACAGCGTGTCCGCCTTCTGTCCGGCTTGTCTCCCTTGGTCTCCCTTCTTGTTGGTCACTGTGTCCCCCTTCTTGTTGGTCACTGTGTCCGCCTTGTCTCCCTTCTGTTGCCCTTCTTGTCTCCCTTGTTGTGCCCCTTCTTGTTGGTCATTGTGTCCGCCTTGTCTTCCTTCTTTCCTTTACATGTGCCTCCTCTCTCCCCCTCTCGCTTGCGACCCTTCACATTTGTCTCCCAGCTGCTCTGCCCTGCAATCCTTTACATTTATCTCCCAGCTCTGGGCTGCGTGTCGCTTGCGCTTCCGCCTCTGCCTTGCAATCCTTGACATTTGTTTCCCAGCGCTGGGCTGCTGTGTCCGCCTCTGCCTTGCAATCCTTAATTTTGCATTTGTCTCCCAGCTCTGACTGCTGTGTCCGCCTCTGCCTTGCAATCCTTTACATGTGTCCTCGCAAGCCTTTGCATTTGTCTCCCAGCTCTAGACTGCTGTATCCGCCTCTGCCTTGCAATCCTTAATTTGTCACCCAGCTCTGGGCTGCGTGTCGCTTGCAATCCTTTACATTTTGTCTTCCTGTGTCTACATTTGTCTCCCAGCTCTGGACTGCTGTGGCCGCCTCTGCCTTGCAAGCCTTTATTTGTCACCCAGCTCTGGGCTGCATTGTCTCCCTGTGTCTACATTTGTCTCCGAGCTCTGGACTGCTGTATCCGCCTCTGCCTTGCAATCCTTTATTTGTCGCCCAGCTTTGGGCTGCATGTCGCTTGCAATCCTTTACATTTTGTCCCCCTGTGTCTGACTGCTGTGGCCGCCTCTGCCTTGCAATCCTTTGTCTCCCAGCTCTGGACGTCGCAAGCTCTATTTGCAGAGTGTTCCGATTTTGAAAAACACAAACTGTTTGGGGTCTACGGCGGTGTAACTCCTTATGGAAGACCTTCTCGGATCCTGTACTGTAGAGATAAGATTCCTGTCGTGCGGATTTACTTGACTGAGTGGATGCTGCAAGGGTCCCCCAAATACAGAGATGCGGCAACTTGTGTCTCTTGTCACGGTGTCCTGGCAGGATCCTTACCTGCCCTATGATCCTAATGAGCTACCGCTGCAGAGTTCTGAGATTTTGTGACATATCCCGTTCTCCAAGTTGTGCCAGGAACATTTTGCCGTCGCATGGAGTCACATTTCGAGTGATTCTGTGTCCTTTGAGGCCATGTGTGTAAAGTAATCAGGAAGCAGACGTATTTTGTTGTATCAATCAAAGCTCTTGCACTTTTTCCCGAAAGCATTGCGAAGGGTTCTTCCGGAAAATCCTTTGAACACTTACACTTCGACACTTACACTTACACACACACACACACTGGAAGAGCGAAAGCATCCAAGTGCGAAGTATGCCAGTGTCAAAGTATGCAAGTGTAAGTATGCAAGCATGATATGCAAGGGTGAGTATGCAAGCACGCAATGAGTATACAAGCATGCAATGAGTAGGCAAGTGTGAGTATGGAAAACTAGCACGGGAGATGTCCTAATGAAAAACATTTCCCCACTTTATAAATTCTC